GGATGATGGGAATTTTCGAGGGGAGGGGGAGGGATTCTTCCCAGTTTTAGTAAGGGATACCGTGGGCTGCTTCGTGTTATTTATCTTTATGGACCTCGGGCAGAGGGTAAGTACACTTACTCTCTGGGTGAGGAGGGGGTTAAGGGGCGAAGTTAAGCCGGAACGAGGGTGGTAAGAGATTGTTTGTCGTATTGGCTGCGGTTTCGACGGGCTTAAACGTTACTCGTTTAAGGGATTTCTTCGTGGTTTTTCTCTCGAGAGTAGCTGGTTGCCTTCTGGATAGTATTACGCCAGTGGGCGTGGACGTGATTTCATTCAACAAGTCGACGTGTTCGCGCATTTGTTAATTTTAATTATTTGTCTCTTTCCTTGCCTTGAACGTGGTTTAGAATTTTCGAGAAAAATTATCTCTAATCTTCGAAGAAAAAGGGAATCGATTCAATGATCGCGAATTTACGAGTCGAAAGGGACATTCGAGCGGCCAGAAATTAATCTGTTGTACCGTGTAATCGGCTTTCGATGATAGAGAGATATTTGTTACAAGAGAACAAACGAACGGGGGAAAAATTGAAAAAAAAATAAATATATACTTATTATATTATATATCCTCTATAAGTGAAAAAGAGAGATAAAATTAAACTTTTGCTGTTCTAAAAGGTTTTGTTCAACAATGGCAAAATATAAAAAGAAAGTTCGATGATGGATATCCTTTTTTATTCATTAACAACGATTTTGAATACATTACAGTGCTTGTATGTACAAAGTGATATTTACATCGAATCGAAACAACGTGACACACGTCGTAATAAATAATTATTACAAAACAAAACAGAACGTGAACGATAATCTTATCATCTAGATGACAAAATCATTTATACATCGGACTTACGTCTTACACGTACAGCTAGAACAACGTCGTATGGATCGCAAAATTCTAATATATAAATCCGTGGATCGATATCGAACTGTATTATCTCCGTTAACTTCCATCTCGCGATTCGTTTTTTTTTTTTTTTACGATATTAAG